TTTGTATCATACCATTTTTTTGGTAATATAATTCTTCCATGTAGTTCTTGTGAATTCTTTAATGATTTTTCTTCCTTTAGCTCTACTATTTTTATAGATCTTGAGATTTTTCTCCTGTTGGATTTATTTCAAAATTTTTTTTTTATTTTTTTAGTGTTGCTCTGTGTAATCTCACAGCTTTCTTGCATCCCTTGTTGAACCATGACTTCTTGTATTTTGAAGAGTTGGAGCTTTTGGTATATTTCTTTCAGCCATCTTAAGTTGTATGTTTGTAAAATAGAAGATGTCATCCTCATTGTTTTTATTGGTTTCTGGAATTAATTTGGTAAGACATGAAATCCTTCCCAGTTAGCCCTTTCTAGATTCCAGCTCGGATTTCTTTTATTTAACTTAACTGATATGTCTTCTAAGAGAATTGGGAAGTGGTCACTCCCACGTGTTGTGAATTTTCCAGTTTTAATCAAGAGACAGGTTTTGGTCACATATTGTTAAGTCTATTGTAGAATGTGTGTCCATTGCTGGATGCAGATATGCGTTTGATTTGTTGTTGTACAAGCACAGCTGATATTTATTCAGTATTGATTCTATTATTTTCCCCTTTTTCCAGTTTTCTTCCTTCCCCATATCTTCTTATGGCTGTTAATTATAATGAAGAGTCTTGGCAGTTGTTCTACTAATTTGCTAAGTTCTGATTCTTTGAGTTCTTCATTTGGTGGTATATACAATGAACAGACTATTACAGTTTAGTGGAGGGTTGCCAATACCACAACTGCTTGCATATTTGTATTTAGATTGATTTCGTTGTGTGCAATATTATTTTTAAGGATTACTGATGATCCACCACAAGCCATAGCAGTGTGCTATTTAATATAATTATATGATTGGTAATTTCTAATGTTGATTGTATTGTCTCTGAGGAGAGTTTCTTGAAGGCATATGACTGCCAGACATTAGTACGTAATAAGTAACATCAATTCACAATAGTTGACCCTTGTTCCTCTAATATTCAATTGGATTATTTTATTGTCCATGTATATTTTTTGTTCTGCGGTCTGTGGGGCTTATTTTGAGTTTTGCTGGTTTGTGGAGTTTTATTTTCAATCTCCATTTCTTTGAAATTATTCAAGTTTGATGTGGTTATCAGGGTGGGTTGCATTTGTGTAGTTCTTTTAATTGGGTTTTGTCTTCTAACATAAGCATCTTTAGTTATTTTATTCATATTTGTGTCTTTTTTAGTAGGTCAGTCTGGTTGTCTTTGCCACCTTTCTTTTGCTAAAATTGTTTGATAGTTTTAGGTTTTTTTTTGTTCTATGGTTATTTCTATATTGTCATGTGTGTTAGTATCTAATTGTTTTTGTTTAGGGCTCACTTTGGTTTACTTCTGTTGAATATAATTTTTTTTTTTTCAATTTTCTTGAAATCTTGGACATTTGTTTCAGTTTAAATTTATCAGCTTTTTAATAAGTTTTTGATATTTATTAGTTTGACTGTTGTCTTGAAGTGTTTAGTTTGTCTTCTGTCCTACACTGACATAGGTTTTGGTTCCCATATAAGTTTCCACAATTTTTCTTGCTTCAAGGAAGGATACATTTTTGGTATGTTTTACATACATGATTTTCTTTTTCCCTTTTAAAGGCTATCACAGGTTCTGGAATAAGTGGGGATGTTCCTTGTAGCAGTTTTCTGCACTCATTCTCTGTAAGGTTTGGGTCACATTCACCACATTTCCCGCACACTCGATGCACCCAGCAAATGTCTTTATGGTGTCCAAATTTTTGGCATTTAAAGCACCGCAAGGGAGTTGATATGTAATTTTCTACTTTTTCTATAGTGTATCCTATTCAGATTTCCTTTGATATTGTTGGTTTGTCATATGTGTATTGGTTTCTATGATTTCATCATTTCTCCTAATACTTATTCTTTTGTATTCTTTTACTCTCTCTGACTTCACAAAGTGGTCTCCATTTCTTCTGGAGTTGCTAGTGAAAGATCAACTTCTTATAACACTTTTAGATGTATTTGATTTTTCATGTGGACTGGCTTTACAGTTGAAGTTATGAAATTTCTTCATTTTCAGTAAATTCTCCACATGTATTTTATTTTTAATTTCTACTAGTATAGGTTTTCATTTCAGAGATTTTTCACATTTTCAGGGTCTGGCCAACTAGAAATTACTTTTTCTATCAAAAAAGGTGAAAATTGGTCTTGTTGCTTTTCATCTAGAGATTGAATTATAATGAATCTTAGGAATTCAGCTGTAATTTCTGATCCAGACTCAGAATCAGAAAGGTTTCTTTTGGGTTTTTTGGTTTGTCTTTCCATAATTTAAATAGAACTATTCACTGGTTCCGTGCTCCACCACAGAGTCCAAATTCTGTTGGGAATATACCAAGGGAGAATCCAAATTACCTTGGTTGAGACAGGGATACACAACCAGTATACTCACACTGAGTACCATTTTGAGTCACTGCCAGTTTCAGATTTAGTACCCAAGAACTAATATTTAATAACATGAAGTAGTGATCAATCTTTGGTTCCCTTGGCACGATTGACCCTCAACCACTGACTTCTAGTGTTTAAAAGTTCCAGCAGAGATGGATATCTGATTGAAGACAGATCAAGTTGAATAATATGGTTGGGATTAACTTTTGTTGCTAGGGCATGTCGTGACCAGCTACTAGGTCAGATCAGGCTTCTCTGGCCTCGTGTTTAGCCCAAGTAATTACCAAAGTGGGGTTGTTGCAATTCACATGACCACTTTTAGCCAGATCATGGAATGCCTCAACCCCCAGGATCCCTTCCTCAGACATTAGAGGTTGACCCCCCCCCCCTCAGCAAACAGGTGGCCTCGTTGAGGGCAAGCAGATGGAGAGGGATTTATATTAGATGAAGATGTGAAGAAATGTATTCTGGGATACTATCAATTATCTGATAGACTTCTTGTAGTAAAACTGAAAGAGAATCCTTTTCAGATATCCATCATCATTGTATATGCACAGACAGCACAAAGTATGGAACAAGAAATTGAAAAGTTTTTATGTTAGACAACACCAAAGCTCAGTGCAAATCACAGGAAATTATAATTGTCATGGTTTACCTGAATGCCAAAGTAGGACAAGATAAATACATTCTTTTGTTCTTTTTAGTCATCATATATTAGAAAAGTTGTCATGAACTCTTCTCAGCATGGACAAACCATCATTTCTTTAGTATCAGATTGATACCATAATAATAACAACTTATCAGTACTTGAAGCCAAACTATTATCTTCTATTGCATGTTACTCACAATGGCTTCAATTTTACTATCCAGATCATACTTTGATTACACTAACCCTGACAGAAATGACAAGAAGTGACATTAACAGGTTTCAACGTTGACATTCATCCAATAGTTTGCTTAAATAATTTCAATCAACATTTTCTCTAGCTCCAATTGGCACTAACTCTATTCTAAAAATTTTTCTCCAATACTAAAAATTGATATATTTATGCATTTTATACAACAAGCATTGTTAACATTTATCAATAATTTGCTTTTTACTTTGTGATTCATTTAAATTATACACAGAGCATGAAACCAGGTTTAAATTAAGACAACAGCTGAAGTCCCAACTTTTAAATCTGAACAAAACAATAATAAAAGTTCAATCAGTTGCTGCATTTTTTTTTTAAAATGATTAACATATTTTTTTTTTATTATAAAATCAATGTGAGCAATACAAAATTTATGCATTTATGCCAACAACCAAGTTTTGGTAAGTTTTTATTTATTTTATAGACAGTGGCTTTCATTTATGATGAATTTCACTAACATTGATGCTACTAAACAAAATTCAAAGTGGTAACAAAAAAAAAAATTTATTGGGTGAAGTGGCTACAGAGAAAAAAAAAAGGAAAGGAAAAAGAGAATGAGCCTGAAAGAGAATGAAAAACACTTTAGAAGAAACCAGAAACCCAATCCTAAACAGGAATCTAGGGATAAGTCTCTTTGCCTGTTCAAAAGACCAGGGAGGAGTGTGAATCAGATGATGGTGAACCTATCTACTCCTCAAGTCTAAAAACTGGAAATTTCTTTTTATAAATATAACATTTAGGTTGAAATTTACAGAGGAAACCATTCATTATAATGACTTTGCGATGACAGGATGGTTAAGAAAACAACAACTCTATAACATTATGCAAAGGATATAAAAGAGCAATTAACAGTCATTGTTATACTTTAAATTATTTTTTAAATTAATTTTAAATAAAGAGTTTTGTACTGACTTAATGTGATAAAAACTATTTTGTAATATGACATAAATGATTATAATAACCAACTTCCTCTGTATCTTTTTTTCTCTCTTAAACTGACAAAATTAATGAATAGTGGTATGTATGAATATGTGTCTAGAGGTATACATATACAAAGAAAAAACCCTCTATAATATGTATGGACAAATGTATGTGTGTGTATGTATGTGTGTGTGTGTGTGTGTGTGTGTGTGTGTGTGTGTGCGCATGGCTATATTTGAAGGAGCATGTATATATGTATATGCATATATGTGTATGAAAAAAAAAAAAAAAAAAAAAGGCCTTAATAAAAAAATGTTCACATTGTCTCATAATCTTCACTTAAACTCTTGCATGAACAACTTCTGGGTTTAAAACAAAGAGACAACAACAAGGAGAGAGATCAGATACTCTCTTTTTGCTATTTTATGGTAAAATCATTTTACTTTGTTTATTCCCTAACCATCTGAATGCTTTTTTCTTTTTTAAATTCCTCGCACTCCCAAAACAAAGTTGAAGTTCTGTCAATTATTACTTTGTGCAGATGATAATTTCGTCATCACTAAAAACTGTGTTGTCTCTTGTTAAAAAAAATGTCAAGTTATCCAGTCCAATGCATCAGTTGTTTACAATAACTTTAAATTTTCCAAACAAAAATTAGATCAGGTTTCCTGTCAGGATGCACATTTTTCATACAATAATACAACATTTCCTATTTGTACTTACTGGTTTTTCACGAGGAATAACACTTGTTGGAGTAGGAAGCTGAAAATATAAGAAAAACAATTATTACTCTCTAAAAACATGTAATTGTAGTCAATGTACAAAATCTAATACTGACTAGTATTTTTCTATTGTTACTGTTATATCTAAAAAAAAAAAAAAAAAAAAAAAAAAAAAAAAAAAAAAAAAAATCAACATTAAAATCTTACAGCATTTGTCCATATAAAAAAATTTGATTTTAATATATTATATATCCATTTATATGTACTCACCTTCACAACAACAACATCATCAACTTTTTCTATTGGCAACTGAAAGAAAGTAAAAATCAATAAAACTAATTTTTAAAAATCACTAATAAACAAAGACAATATACAGGGTGATTGAAAAGTAGTTCCTTATTTTATCTATTATGGAATCTCCTGTCTTGTAAAAATTATAGTTAAATGGGAGAGTCTATCATACATAAAATAGGGAGTTACTTTTCAATCACCATTTAAACAAAATATTCAAGTGTTTCATGTTGACAAAATTTTTCCGTCACACTATTATATGACCTTCCTTATACTAGCAAGATCAAAGACGTGTGTGTGTGTGTGTGTGTGTGTGTGTGTGTTCCAATAACTTGGACCAATTTTAAATGTGAATTAAGTTTAAGCATATAATGATTTTTTTCTTTTTCTTTCAGATTTAACAACTTAAGCCTTTGGCAACTTCAGCCATGGAAAGATTAACAATCAAGCAATGTGTTAAAGTTTCAAGAATGCAATTAGAAAAATTGTTCGTAAATTCAAACAAAACTGAGTCGGTGGCAGATGTGAAAATTCAGCTGAAAACATTGCTGCAGTGCATGAGAATGTGACTAGAAATCCAAACACCTCTATTCATTATAGTGCGCAGGAATTGAACCTCTTCACAACAACATTACATCATTTACAGTTGCACTCTTGGTTGGTCGATTATGTCGACAAAAAAAAAAAAAAAAAGTCATAAAGTGCACGAAATGCATTTCTGTTTGAATGTGCATTTTTGTAACAGGCTTAGATAACTTTAACACATGGTTTCATTGTTAAACTTTCCATGGTTGAAATTTCTAAAGACTTAAGTTGTTAAATCTGAAAGAAAAAGAAAAAAAAAATCATTAGACGCTTAAACTTAATTCATATTTAAAATTGGTCCAAGTTATTGGAATACCTTTTATAAGGAATGTTTTTTTAAAATTCATTTTATTTGAAATCTTGTAATAAATTTTTTTTTTTTTTATAAATTAGATGTCTTATAAATTTATCATTAATTTTATTACTATTTTATTGGTTAATTCTAGATTATGTCCTCAAATAAGGATTACTAGTTTCAATTTATCAAATTTTTCTAATACATTTTTATAATTTACATGACTGAGTCTGAGGTAAATTCTTCATTTCTGAAAGTATACATATCATTGTAAATATTTCAGTTTAACTCTCCAAATAGACTTCTAGATCAATATTTAACCCATTTAATAATCAGTCATTCCAAGTATTTAAATCATTTTTTTATACAGTGTAACCCGGATATAAGAGAGTTGTCGGGACCGGAGAAGAAGTTTCTTATATCCGAGTTTCTCTTATATCCAGGTTACACTGTAACTACTTTTTCAGTTTCGTTTTTTTCTTTAAGACAAAGTGAATTTGTAAAATAAGTCATTGCAAGATATTTGTTTGAACCTTCACCTTTTCCAACAACTTTTTTTTTCATGCTTTCATTAAATTTCAGATGAAAAAAAATAGAAATAAAAATACATGTCAAAATGAAGGACACAAATACTTAGGTATTTACTACTAACATCAATTAAAATACAAAATAAAAAAAAAAGTTTTCTAAAACTGAAAAAGCAAAATGTTAAGTTTTTTTTTTTTATATATAAAGCTATCAAATCATTGAAAGCAAATTCCACATGGCAACAAAATAACAAAATCATCTCTGTGCCAAATACATAGATCTCAAAAAGATTTCTTTACCTGCCATATTTTGTTAAAAAGTAGCTGTGTGTTGTCCCTTGCAAGATTTCGAAGATAATCTTCCTTATTTTTACTGAAATTAAAATGAAATTTAATTTAAAGGCAAAGAAAAAATACAAACATACTGTCATATTAATCAGTTTCAATGAGATTAGCGGACGTACGCACGTGAATATGTTTTAATGTAAAAGAAAACAAATTGTACACAATCTCTGCAATTTACTTCAGCCAATATACATACACTTATAATGACCAGATACTCGTTTGTGAGTATTTCCTCATATTTTTCATTTTTTTTTAACTCCTTAATAAGTAAAAAAAAAAAAAAATTTAAAAAATGGGTTTTCCACTCTTTGTTTCAAGTAATATTTATAATGTTGCGCTAAAAAGTTTTTGGCCCATCCAAAATATATTTCATTATGATCATTTACCCAGATTTGTTGGAGGACTGTGTTGATCCATGAATGTTTCAGCAAATTGTATACATTACATGTTTCATTAAGAATCATTAAAACTAGCATAAATAAAGTGAGTTAATCAGTAATGAATTGCAAAATGTAATGGGGAAACGTCAGCATAAGGCGAGACGATAATGCATTGTCAATGTAAGGCAAGGCAATAAACTGTTACAAAACTGGATTTACTGAAACTAATATATATTGCATTAAAAATTTAATTTGTTTTTAAGCAATCCACATATTTAAAGTGCCACTAAAAATTTTAATTCGTAATTTGTCAGACTTAAAATAACGAAATATGATCAGAGCCTACACTAACGAACACAGAATACGCTTTTGGCCAATTTTTATATCAACAGAATTCATTAAAACATAATTTTATGATTTCCACTAAGTGTATTTTCTTAACAATGCCTATACTTTAGAATTTTATTAATTTATTATAAACTAAATTGAAAATCAACTTTCAGCTAAAATATTTACAATTGTTTAACTAAAAAACATAAAAATACATACACATTTTCTCTAACCAAATAAAAGTTTTTGCACTGGTCATCATGACGAGGCATCTTAAAAACCGATCCAATTACAAACCGTAATTTGAAACTGGTCAGTGTATGTGGTTAACCATTTATTTTCAAACTAAAGTGAAATTGAAAACCAGATAAACCTGACAGATAATGGAGAATGTTGTTATTGGCAATTATTTCCGTGATGTCTGGCTCTCATTGTAGACAATGTTTGAGCGATGAAGTTGAATAAACCCAATTGCTCACTCACTTAAAGGTGATTTTGTCTTTTGCTACTAAAATCTGAAAAAAAAACTTTTCAATATGAAATTAAATTGCAAACTATATATATATATATATATATATATATATATTTGGTTGGATTGATGTGAGTTTGTGACCCTGGGTTTCATGCTTTTGCGATCATGAGACATAAGTACCGTGCATATATATATATATATATATATATATATATATATATATATATATATATATATATATTTATTTACACACATATATATATATATATATATATATATATATATATATATATATATATATAAGTGAACATAGAAGTGAATACTTAGAGGCAACAGTCTATTTCATGCTAGATGCAATCATCAGGCCACCAAATTTTAATGCCATATATATATATATATATAAAGATGGCATTAAAATACCAGGTAAAAAGTTTCATAAAAAGTGAATTAAATTTAAATATATAATTATAAGTAAATAAATAATGAACAAAAATATTTAATTAAATTTACATGGAAGAAAATCAACTGTATCAATTGAAAAAGAAAATTACTTCTTTTCTAATGAAAAACAAACATTTGAAAAGTTTCTTAAAAAATTAAACCAAAAACAATTCACTTTTACAAAAGCTTATACAATTTTCAGTTTAAAACATTAATACCAACTTAGAAGACAAAGAATATTGTTAATATATCCTCCCACACTCAAAACATTAAAAAAAACTAAAAAAAACTGCTATCACAACACACACAAAAAAAAAAAAAAAAAAAAAAAAAAAAAAAAAAAAGAAAATCCTATCAAAACAACCCCAAAAATCTTCAAAATAGTTCAGGACAAAATGTTTTTCTAAGAAGAGTAATTAATAGCAGTAAGAAATTATAAATATTTAAATGCTGTCATATTGAAAAAAAAAAAAAAAAAGCATTAAATCTTCCTTTATAAGCATCTCCTCACTTGACCCTTTCAATAATCATACTAACACTTTTCATAACAGCAAAATAAGTAGGATGCAGCTTTCTGGTTTATCAATGCTGTTAATACAATAACTAAAAATATTAAATGTTCCTGGTAGCAACAAAAATGATAGAAAAATTCCCCACTTTCTCTGTTATAGGAATGGCACAAAATCAGATGATCATTTCAAAATGAACAACCCCCACCAAAAAAAAATTCAATTTGATTTTATCTTTAGTCATGATTTTTGTCACTTAAATTAGATTATAACAAGGACAATTAAATTAAAAAACATCTCATTTTCTAAGTAGACACAGATGTGAGTATATTACCCATGTGATATGCAAACATACAGCTGATTCTAATAAGATTGTTCTCATTTAACCTTAACATACCAAGGCGATGGTGTGTGTGTGTGGGGGTGTCATTGGAGGACGCCAGTGTGACGTTTTTAGTGATCTTCTTGTTAGTTACAACAGGATCACTAAAAATGTCACATTAACAGCTAACTTTTTTTATTTTTTGTATGTCTCTTGTATCAGTTTAAGATTTTATATATATATATATATATATATATATATATATATATATATATATATATAACTTATACAAAGTTCTTTCATTAAAGCATAAAAAAATAAAAACAATTTTTGGGTCCCAACAGGACCCCACCTGGTATACTACGTTACAAATTTGGATTATCAATTCTTTTTTTTTTTTTACAGATTTTGAATGCCACAAAGTTTGAAAAATATCCCGCCAACAAATCACAGGTGATGACATTGTTCAGATGCTGGATGAGTGCGATGTTAGTAACTCAGATGATATCTTGAGTGAATCTGATGAAGAATTCATTCCACAAGGAAATGCATATGAAGACAATCTTTAAGTGAATTCTGAAGAAAGTGACATTGCCAGCAAAAATCTGATGGAGATTCTGATGAATTCATTGCAAAAAAAAAAAAAAAAAAAAAAAAAAAAAAAAAATCAAGAAAATGCACTAGTTTGCCTTCAGTGACTCGCCATTGCCAATGTAACATTGTCAGAGAATCTCCCGGGCCAACGCCTGCAACTAATGTCACAACCACTATGTCCAAAGTTTTCAACATGTTCTTTGATGATCAAATTATAGATACTTATATGCGCAATCATCAATGCTAAAGAGTCACATGTTCAAAATCTCAATGCAAATGCCCCTCCGAACAGATTGAGATTTTGGATAGATGTAGATCCTGTGGAAATATGAGCATGTTTTGGTGTCCTGCTGATAGCTGGAGCTTTTGGATGCCAAAAGGAAACGATTTCTGAGATGTGGGCAACAGATGGGAACATTCACCATGCAGTCTTTACTGCTGCCATGGTACAGAACAGATTTGTGCACATTCTTCTGTTTATCAGGTTTGACAATAAATCAACAAAGGGCAAACAATAAACTTGCAGCTATACTTGATGTTTGGAGTTGATTTTTAGAAAATTGCAAGAAGCTTTTCAAATTATTTGAAGACATTACAGTAGATGAGCAAGTAGTTGCATGTCGTGGCAGATGTCCAATGAGGTAGTACATGAAATCAAAGCCAGCAAAATATGGGATCAAGGTCTGGGCAGCCGCAGATATGAAGATGTCATATTTGTACAACTTGCAAGTCTACACTGGAAAACTTCCAGGAAATGCCCCAGAGAAAAACACCATGTAGTATGTGACTTGATGGAACCATTGTTTGGATCTGGTAAAGGTGTGACTATGGACAACTTTTTTTTACGTTCATGTCAAATGCAAAATTTTTGTTGCAGAAGAACATTACTATTACAGAAACACAGAACAAAAAAGCCCGACATTTCTGCAGTGATGGAAACTGCAAAAGGTGGAGACCTTCTGTCTTTGAAATTCATCTTCTCTGATTGGGTAGCAGTAATCATCTACGTCCCAAAGAAAAACAAAACAGTTTGTGTACTTTCCACTTAATTTCTTGATTCAGTATCTAATGAAAGTCACAAGAAGCCTAACATGATACTTGAATACAACTGCACCAAAAGTGAGGTGGACAATGCAGACAAATTGGCAAGAGAATATTCTTGTGACAGACATACCTCAAAATGGCTTCTGAGGATTTTCATGACCATGCTAGATATTGGAACCCTAAATACTTTCATAATTTGGATATTGAAAAACAAAGACTAGAACTGCCACCTAAAAATCACAGATATTGATTCCTATTAGAGTTGAACTGACAAAGCTCAACATTCTGCAAAGGGAAAGCAGTCCAAATGGTCTCCATCTTCCAGTTGTCAGAGCCATTGAATCAGCAAGAGTATTTGTTGCACACAACACTGTAGCCCAAAGAACACCATCAACATCAGGGCAGGGGGAAGATGTCCCTAGAATCAACAATCAGAAAGTCAATACAATCTGCTGTGAAGACAAATGTTTTGTCTGTGAGACACACAAGACCAGCACAACTGTGACATGTGCTAAGGTTTGGTTTGGTTTATTTTGTTTTACGGCATATCAACCTCAATGGGTTATTTAATGTCGACAACATTTTTAGGATAGATTCATATGAATAGGGTATGTATTCTTTGGTTTAGATTGATTTGGTCTATTTTGTTTTACATCATATCAACTTCAATGGGTTATTTAATGACAAAAATTTTTACTGCTGGTAATATTTTGTTTTGTCAAAAATCTGTTTCTGGTAATATATTTCCTCCAAAACTGTATTGGTTATAATAATTTTTTTCAAAAAAGTATTGCTGGTAATAGTTAACCATTTGCCCATAGCTGGGACCCTAACAGGTGCTACCACACCGGGTCGGGGTGAATCTAGGAACATCAGCAACTAAAAGGAGGTTCCATGCTCCTCAAAACCATCTGATCAGAGGCCTTGCTGCTGGAC